AGAAATCAGCATGTAAAACTGAGCAGTTTCCACAGGCACATCCAGGGAAATCAATGGTCTAAAATGAAGCTTCACACTGATTTTAGGAATTAAAACCAATACAGATGTGTTTACACAGGTACACTGATGTTGTCCCTTTAAAACAGGCATGCAAGTTCAGAAGATTACTTCACACATGTTAAATAGGCAAAATGTGGAAGCTTTTGCAAATGTCTAGTGCAGTCTTCACTTTAGTGCATACTCTCACCTTAATGCAGTCACTCACTTCAATGATTTTCCTGCTAAAACACTCATTTCTCACCTGTTTTTCTTGTGTGTTACATTTAGAAATGAAAACAAAATGGTATTAGTGCCTCTAGCTCAGCAAAATTGAACGTGTTCTGTATGAGACAATAATGACGGTTACTTTTGGGATATTGCCTGCTAATTCCTTTTGCTGACCCTGGGATTTTGGAGATCTGACACACTTCCACACCCTTTAGTCAGCAGCTCCATCCTGCTGTGCCACATTACTGCTGCCCTGAATGGGCCCACAGGCAAGTCCATGCCAATAATGCAACACAACAGTAACAGTTTGCATGGTGACAAGAGATTAGGATGATTTTGGTCCATCCTCAGTGAAAGTCCATCCTCAACCCCTTTGAGCATTGCTCATTTCCTACTCTAGTCTCCACCTCAGGCACTGTTGCCAAATTAGAGTATAGACTTAGACTCAGTCAATGAGCAAGCAAGTGTGGTGGTTTAAAACGTGAACAACTCTCTTTTCTTGTCCCCATTTATTTATATTGCCCTATTTCTAGGAGTTAACACCCTAAAAACAGTGGTAGATGATTTCTCCTGTTCATAATCTAGTGTTTCATTGGGAACTCTGCTCCATTTGTGACCTGTAATCCAGATGGGATACTACAATAGGGAGGGGGGCTTCAAGATCTTCACAGAGGTCATGCTGACTGGAAGCTGGGAACTACAAGCAGAGCAACATGGCACAGACCTGTCATGGCCTTAACCTCTCAACAAGATTTGCAAGAGGTCATTTGTCAAAGGCCTAATCTATCCATCTGCTTCTTTTCATGATGGCAGAACCAGATCTCTAGAGAAGAGCAGGGAGCAAGCCCCTCTAAGGTGCGCCAGAATGGAGGTTATTCCCCATCCCCCTTTGCAAAGCAGCTCATCTATTGAATGTAATTTAATCAACAAATGGAGTTGTTCTTCGCAGGGTATCGTCATTTGAAGAATAACTCCTCTTTGTCAGAGATGAAGCTATACAATCACTTTTATGTGATTGAGAAAAATTAGCCCAATTAAATACATAAATGTTTAAGTAAATCCTTTGGACATAATTCCCCTAATAAAAACCAAATAAATATCCATTTTTAAGGAGAGCAGTAAACTGCTGGGTATTTCACAATGTCAGCTCGGGTTTTCTAGAAAAGAATATTCAAATCCACTTAAATTAAAGGCATAGTTATTTTTCCTGCAATCTTCTTAAATACTACTTGGGAATCTACACAGAAATGCGTGTATCTGTCAGGGGTAGAAGAAGAGGTCCTCTCCTCACAATTTGGGCCATCTCAGCACTCTCTGGAGTACCTGTTAGTCTAATGCCTTTTCTACTGCCTGAAGTAATGAAGAGACATTTCTTATCTAGCACACACACTAAAGATTAGGGTTTTTTCTGGGTTCTTAGCATTGCTATTTATTTATTCTCTCTAGTTATGAGTTATGGGGGAGGGATTTGTCACGTTGTCCTTAAGCAAAAATTTTCATTTAATTACTAATTCTAGTATATTTCTGGTTGGCATTACGTATCACAGTGCACAATTCAGCTGCTTCTCAAGAGAGTTCTTGCAGTTCCTCATCTGTACCTGCCTCTCATTCTTCTTTATCCTCCTATAATGTAGATTGCAGATCCTGGCTCTTATTTTCTACCTTCAACCTCAACCATTTATCCTCCACACTTTTTGTAAGTCCACAACAAGTATCAGTGCTGACCTCCCTCTTTTGCTGGCTCTCTAGTCAAACCTGGTGAGCTTTGACCCTCCTTTCCCAGCTGCACACTCACATTCCCTGTGGCCCGGGCTGCAGCACTTGCTCTGCCATCCTGGAAGTGAAGGCTGAATGCTGCCTGCTGATCAGCATTCCTGTGAACACATCTCCTCTGAGAGTAACCATGAGCTGAATTACCCTCTCTGTGTCATCCTCACTGGCACCCACAGCAGCAGAGGGTGCAGGAACAGCACTCCCATCATCACCTTTTCTCCCGTTAGAAACCAGTGCAGGGCTCACAGCAGCTCAGATTTTCTGAGAGCGGATTTTGAATGCAGCGTAGTTCTTAAGACAACTCATTTCACAGGCTCAGGAACAGAAAGCATATCATTGCAGCTTAATCAAATTAAATATTCAAATGAAAGCAATAATTACTTAAATTTGTCTTGAGACTTAGTAAGATTAAGTCTTTGAAACATCATTTTTGGCCTGTAGGCTCTAATGAGTATGCCAGTCCCTAATGATTCAGAAGAGACCTAGAGGGTTTGGGTTATCACCAACCAAGAGGTATTTATGAAAGACTAGCAGCGTGGTTATTAAATGGCCCTCGGACAGTACCTCGTCTTTACAGATGGTTTTGGTAACGCACCATCAAACAGACACTAAGTTAAAAAAAAAAAAAATCATAGCCAAGCATTTAAGTTCGCTGTCAATGTATGTGAAAAGGATATATTTAGTGGCAGGGCTGCCTAGAAAAAAATCACTGCAGCAAATTTCAGCTCTCATTATGATCTGTTAATTACTGTGTTGACACACAATTGCAGCAGATCAGTGAGACCAGCACTGCTGTCAAGTCTAGGCATGTGTCACACATGGGCTGTGTGCTCCAGAAAACACAGCCAGAGCCTTCACAGTTAATGCAAGATTTCTTCTGGTCCTTATGCGTACCTGGAAGGAAAGCTGCCAGATGACATTTTTCACATTAGTTTCTTCACTGACTTTTAAGGCAGAGTGACTCAATTTATGCAAATATCTGACTCATGAGTCAAGACTGAGGCAGTGAAGGTGGTCTTGGAGACTCTGCTCTGACTGTGGACATGACAGTATTTAAAGGTAACAGTTTGTAACTGCCCAAGAGCTTTGACAAGCTTGCACTGTCACAACACCCACCTTCTGTGACTCTGCAAAGAAATAACCTAGAAGGTAACACTCTTCTGCACCTGGGATCAAACACGGGACACAAGCTGGAACCGCAGAAGCAGAGCTGTTCACATGCTTGGCATGGAAGAGCAGGAACCAGCATGCACCAGTGATGTGTTAGCTGTCCTTTCAAAGGGGTGCTCAGTGGGCTGGCCAGGAACTACTTGAGGCTTCCACACAGGGCTGGCCATGGGCAATGGGCAATGAACCTGAATCTTCCCTGCAACAGTTACCACAGAGTTTTGTCTGGTCTTTCTACTACGTCCTTTGACACACCTTTCCATGGAGCTGGGAATCTAAGTTCTGGAACATTTTTTTCCTGCTAGTTAACTATACATTTCTGTTCTTACTGTTCTCTCTCCTCTGTCTTTAAATCTTTCTATTCTGAGGTGAATAAAAAGTTTTCAGGAACTTTTTATACTTTGCTGAAGAGTAAATTTAGTACCAACAGCACAGAAGGATATTAGAGTTCAGAATAACAAGGTAAAGCTTGTAGAGCACATTACACATCCCCTGAGTAACACCATAGGTGGTTGCTGATAAGACATCAGTGGCACTGTAGGGATGGGTGCTGATATTGGTTATGAGAATTTCTGGTCCCCTGCCAGATCAAATGTACTCAAAACACCACAGGAATTCTGTAAGGAAGAGTGGCCTGGAGCATCTCTCCCAGAGCAGTATTTTTTTACCTTTCAACCTCAATTCTTTTGCATATCTTGACAAGAAACACCTCTGAGATTAAAAAAAAAATCTCCTTACTCCTGAGATCTGACAGAAAGATCTGTATAAAATGAAGAGATGATGCAGAAGGTTTGTCTTTAACCTTAGGAGACCATTTTTGTCTACTATTCCTTGCACAGGGATTCAGGCCCTGCACAAGTCCTGCACGCACACGTATGGAAAGAATTTCTATGATTAACTAAGGTTTAGCCTGCAAGGGCTGGAAATGGGGAGCTCTGTATGCTTAGGAGCAGAAGCTTTCAAATCTGTGGGGGGTCAAGGTGCTCAGTCCCTCCTGCTCCTTCAGGAGGATTGCAGATCCCCCTCTTCCTCGAGCGACACAGGGTCAGAGAGTACTTGTAGAGAAGGGTATCAGCAATTGCACTGATCCTTCCAGCTAAACAAGGTCTCAGACATGCATTCAAGCATCAGATCCCGATCATCCACATTGCTTAATCCTTAGGTCACTGCTGTTTCCTGGTTTTCTAGAGCCCCTCCACAGAAATGCACAGGTGTGAGCCCAGTTTGGCTGCATCCCTGGCTCTCATTCCAGGCACAGTGCACTCAGCAGCAGTAACTCAAGTAGTTTGTTTGGGAGAAGGCAAACATAGGGTGAAAGTGTTATTTGCCAGCTTCCCAAGTATGTGAGCAACATACAAATACACTTTACGCTTGTGTTAGAAGGCCATAAACATCCCAGAACTCAAAGATAGCCAATTGCAGTCATGGAGAATTACCCTGACCTGTGCTGTGATGGGGTGCCTCTGTCCACTGTCAAGACCTCCAGGAGTGCTAGCTCCCATATTAAAAAAACTATTAAATCTGATTTATTTCTATAAATATGCATACATACATAAATGTATACATAATTTTTCTTTTATAACATCTTTCTGGAAAATAAATGGAAAAATCTTTCCAGAGATCCATCTGAAATCCCCTGCCTTGGCACCATTCTAGAATGATGCAGTATGACTAGCCTACCACACACAGGTGGGTTGCTTCCCCAAACCTGTGCTTATGTCCTAGTTGTCTTTTATGACCGACACATAGAAGAGCCTAGTGTGGCTGAGATCGATCCTCTGATGATGACTCACCCAACTCAAACTGGTTTGAAAGGTTACCACAGGTTTGTCTGACTTCTTCACTGTCCCAGCCAAGGGGGTAGAGGGCACAACCAGAGCCGATCAACAAACCTATGGAGAGAAAAGGAAATAAAGGTTTATACGAGCAGTTGCCATTAGCTTAAACACAGGCTGCCACTTGGGAATCGAAGTTCCAAACTGCAATTTAGGAATGCCAGAAAAAAAGAAGTCTCTTCTTCTCCTAAAACAGATGAAAACCATTTGGACTGCAGCCTTCTGCTACAGTTTTAGAGCGGGTCTGTGGGCTGGAGCCAGTCCAAGCAGCTCAGCATCAGAAGCCATCAAAGCTTCTGAAGCTTTTATCTGAGAGCTTTTAGACTCCTCTTCTACTCTCCAGAATGGCTAAATATGCAGTTTGGAATACACAACATGTGGTTAAATAGAAGCATGTTAATGAAGGCATTTACAAGCTGATTGCTTCTGATTAATTAAAACAACAATCAACCAGGGTCCATCAAGGTTCCATCAGGAAAACTGACAGTTGTGCTAATCTGTTGCCATTTTGCTTTGTTTTTCACTCTTTCAAAAGCAAGGGAATAATGGTTTCATACCACTTGATCAATGCATACCACAGGTACACACTGCTCAAAGTTTTCTTAATTCATTCAGCTGCAACAACTGAGGTCTTGAGTCATTTACCTGTTGTCATACTTGGTTTAACATTCACAAGATGCTTTGCTTTCTCCAGCCCTCATGCTGCCCCAAACAGATGTGTTTTGGCAAATCCTGTCCCTTCACAAGACATCGTAGAGAATCAGCAGCGCACCAATGCACCATGACTATTTTGCAGAAGTGGCATTTTTATCATACTGCATTCTCAGCTGTCACTGCAGCAGCTGCCAAAAGGCCGATGTAGCTGGCAAAGCGTTTCACACAGATAGCCTAGAGAGAACATTTCAATGTATGTTACAACATTTAAATGTTGCCTCCTTTGTGTCAGATCTTATTTATGAGACTGGAAACAAATCACTGTGTAGATAATGGGCTAGGAGCACCTGACACTTCACAGGCTGTAAAGTCAAGCAAGCCCTCCCAAGGTTTGCAGGGGTGCCTTTTACCTGCTAGGCAGAGCACAAGGTTTCAAGCCCTACAGCTGTCACTTGCTGCCTTTGGGCATACCTCCTGACCTCACATAATCTTGCCCCTCCTCTCTTGACAATAAGGAGCAGTGCTCCCTGGAGAAGCCCTTCTGCTGCTTGCTCCCAGTGCAGAAAATCCCTGGGTGTTGTGACAGAGTCACTGTGGACATAACATCAGTCTGACAGGAGTCCTGAGAGGGATTATGGCTCAGGGCCTAGAGCTTAACATATCTTCCTACTGTCTCCATTCTCAAGATACCTAAGCTTCTCATATTGCCGATGTTCCTGTAAGATATGGAAGTCACCTTATTGTGTTCTTGATTTGCTCAAAGACACACCTGAACAAGGCACTGAAGTCCAGAAGTGGTATCTCATCTTTCTTCAAAAGATGTTTAATGCTCTCAGCATCTTGGCTGTTAGCAAAGTAGCTCAGCAGCTTGTCTGCTGCTCCTCCTCCAAGCACACCTGCACCTGTTTAAGCCCAGTATTAACTCCCTGGATCTTCCTCCAATAAGTTCAAATTTCTTCAATGTGCTCAAGCCCACTTCTTCCTTCCCTTGCTGATCAGTCATTACCTGCTCTTGTCTCCACATCTACATAACATAATGAAAAAGAAATCCCTGAGGCAGCTCTCTCTCAGATGGAGCATTCACCCAACAGCTGTGACAGGAGAAAAGCAATTAAGGATATGTGAATGCTAGGTATTTTCAGAACTTTGCCTGATCTGGGTATGGTTGCTTCTAATGTCCTCACTAATATCTTTCACAGTATCATTTCATTTTTTTTCCCCCTAGGGCTGTAGAGCTAAGGGCAGCTGGTAGGATCCATGTAAATGAGAATCACTTCTAATTAAATTCTCAGAAAGGATGTTTCTCAGACAAGGGAATCTAGGCCAAAACTTGGTCTACATTTGTTAAAGGCAGCCTAAAACCCTCCAAACAGCCCCTGCCGATTCTCTCTTGAACCGTTAAAGCAAGAAAGATGTTGTGAAGCACTGACAGCATGGGTGGTGTGCTAGGAAGGGGCAGCACCCCATAGGGCAAGTAGGAACATCACCACTGATGATGAGAATGGCTGGGGAAGGCAGGAAGAGCACCTACATGCCAGTCAGCTTCACAGACCAGTGCACTGTGGCAGACCCAGCCAGTCCTGCCGTGCTTCTGACCCCCTCCCACACCACTTGTGGTGCCTGCGATGTGCCCAGTGCCAGCCCAGGCTGCGACTGCTCAGGAGCTGCTCTGGCCAAAAGGGAACCACCCTGGCTGAGCTGTCTGCAGTCACCTTGTGTACTTGAACAGACTGTCGGGGAGACGTACAAGCGCTCAAAGGGCTCTGTTGTGAGGGGCAGGGAGATGTACGCAGGGGTAGGAGGGAAGGCAGGCTTGCACCCGCCTGCCTTGGACCAGATTAATGGCAGCCAGCCCTTCCTCACAGACAGGTCCTGGGAAAGCCTTCTGCTCAGTTCTTCCAGGAGAGGACAACAGCAGCACTGCAGCCAAGTGAATGGACTATTAGCATAACAATGCTGCTGCTCCTCCAAACCCAGAACAAGCCCTTACTCAGCCCTTTCCAATTACTCTCCTCAGGTGGCAAGAGTGTCTAGTGCCCATTGCATTCACAGACTGTTTTCAGCTCTCTTTAGGTTTTGTTGCAGCAACAGGTTGTTAGGGCTTTTTCCCACGAGTATTGCTCACAGCACTTTCCACTGCCACTCTCCAAACACAGTTCATCCTTTTCCAAATATGAGTACCTGTTTACTCTTTCTGCCTCTGATGCTACACTGGATCAGTGAACCTTGACAATTTATCTCCTCTATTCAGACTCCTTCAGCCCCCTGTTACACCTCTTTTCCCATTTCTGTACACCCATGTCTGTAAGTTCAAAGCCCGGTTTCAGTGAAAATAAATTCAGGGGTTCAGTCAAGAATTCCTCAGCAATGCAATATACTGTAACATTGAATTGCTCCAAAGGAGCTCACACATGGATGCTTGCCCTTAAAGCCATTCCAACACTGTCTAACAACCAGCCCACAGCACCCACTGCTGAGCCTCACCATTAGCTGTGCCTCCTTCTAAGAGACAAACCTAATAAGGGAAAACTATGTCAGAAAGCCTCCTTATCCCAGTGACAGCTGGCTCTCCAGCTGACTAGCGGCTTTATCAGTGCTGAGTTTCACTTATGGAGTACCAGTCACTGAGCAGTGCAGCTTCTTTTCCTCACACAGCCTGCATTGACTGGGATGAGGAGATCAAATGGGAAATTGCTGCCTATTGCTGTTGCTGCCACATGACCCCAAAGCACCAGTGGCAGCATGCTTATGTGCAAAGGACAAGGTATAAAGCCATGGGCAAGCTCACACGCTTCTCTGAGTGAACATAACACCTTTCAGGGACCAACAGTGTGCCAGGAGCATGGGTTTGTGTTCCCATCTGGCAAAATGGCTTAAATAAATATTTGTTTTGTCACAGGTACCCACTGGCCACAAGGCTTAAAGCTGTTGCTCTGACATGTCCTTTGATATCACTGGTTTTCAGCTGTTTTTGACTGACCTTCAGACAGTTCCCTTTTGTGGTGCATATGCACTTTTTGTGGATTTGAGTCTCGACAAAACACCTGTCCTCCAGTACTTCTTGCAGGCAAGGTTCAGACCCAGCTCAGGGACTTGCCTTCAACAAAAGAATTCTGCAAAGATTTAGAGCCCAATTGTCAGCAAGGAAAAGTTTCACAAGCTTTGCTTTATGCCCTGAGGTATATTTATATGTATGAGCATGTGTGTGTCATGTCCCATTGCTTTCAGCAGTATTCTACATGACTTCAACATGGTCTGCATGGGCACTGAATCTGAGAACTGGCATTTTGGCTCCCTTATTTTATGCACTGAAAGTGTGGAGTGTGCCTCAAAGCCCATGGTGTTAATGGGACTTAAACAAAAGCTCCTCAGTCCCTTCCTTCCCTTCTAATCAATCCATCCCTGTTTGTAACCAACTGTGTGGATCAGATCCTGCAAAATCAAAAAGGCTGCATACTATTACCACTAATAATTCATACATGCTCACAGCCAATTTATTTAATCACAGAGGATGTAGATCCTGCTGAACAGCTGCAACCTCCAGTGAAAGATCCAAGCTGAATCCAAGGGCTACAAACCCAGTGGAAATCATTAAGCTAATTCTGCAGCTTCAGTAAAGAGCAGTTACTAGTTCAGCTTATATCTGAATCATGAAGAATTATATTCTGGACTGCTCTACAGTTATTGCATTTAGCCAGCTATGCTACCCAGGACACCACACCCATTTTTACAGCTGCTTAAAATGCTTAGGATGCCTGTAATATTTTTTAAAAAGGAAGAAAACCAAAACCAACAATGTGTAGTAATTACCATCCTCTGTCATCTTCCATTATCCACTACAGTTGTGAAAAGAAATTGAAAGGGGAAGGAAATGTGCAGATCCGTAAACGGCACCTTCACAAAAGGGCCTGCAGCCTCGAGGTGTGAGGGACCCAGTCAGTGGGATGGGGCAAGTCAGCAAGTGGAGGTGCTGGTGGCACTTGGCAGCTGTTTTAGATGACGTACCATGTACCAGCAGAAGTGTTGGCACTGTCACAGATCAGCTTTTCTGGAGAGGTTCCATATCTGGGAATGAAACAGGCTCCTTGCCCTTGTCTGTGAAACACTGCTATTGTGAATGCTGCATCTGGCTCAATATGCTAGCAAGGCATGGGGAGACACAAACAGGGCTGACTGAGCACCACCAGCTGTGACAATCCAAAACTGGAATTAAGACCTTAGCTTCAGTATTTAAGAGTACCAGACAGCCCCTAGGCTCTCATCTAAAACCAGCCTATTTGGCTAAATGTGGAGCTGCCCAGACCTACAGACTGTAAAACTGCAAATCAGGGGGTCAGACAGTGGATGCCTTAATATTAAACCACCCAGAGTAATCCTTGTCTCTCCCAGACTGCCTTCCCTGT